TGATAGTTGTGTATAGATCTATACTAGGTCTGACAAACCCGCACCTAAGCTGCTTGCAACAACTAGACCGACAAGTCTGGGGTGACAAGTGTCCTAACATTCCGACGCTTGAAGAACGTCGCATACAAGGCCTCCTAGTCTTTAGTATGGTTATAACATCTCACATGGGGTATTAACAAAACATACATTTCACGGAAATTCTACGACTTTACATAAAAGAGTTTTATTTAAATACAAAACCACACACATAAGTATGACGATTTACTTACACATACTAAGTCTTGTTTCAGTTAAGACTACAACAAACCTTTTTGAAAATATCAAATTTTCTGGAAACAAACTTCTAACAAACTTTAAGGAAACAACATTTATATTTCATAAATTGCTTATGGACTCACCAGCTTTATGCTGATACTCTTTCAAAACAACTTGTATTCACAGGTAATCAGTAATACAACTACAAGATTTCTAAAGTCAAGACGCTAAGGCGTAGATTCTTTTGCTACATTTTAACATCATATGTAATTTATTTGGAAACATGTAACTTTCAAACGATGTAACCTTTTAAATTATATCTATGATGGTTGTGTTTTACTTTCTTCACTATGGTTATGATATTGAGCATGACGTCCTCCGCCCCCGAAAGTTTCTGCTGTCCTGGTTTAGGGGTGTGACAAATGATAGGGTAACGGGTCAGATATGGTTAGGCAACGACTCGAGGGTACCAATTGCAAAGGTTCAATTTTGCTAGATTGAAAAATCGGTGAACAACTTATCATACCAAAGATATATTACATTCCTGCTTTGAAAAGTGACATAATAAGTTTGGAACAGTTAACTGACGAAGGGTACACAATCAAGATGAAAAATGATTACTTGTGAGATACGCTGATAATGAAGGTGAAACGTATGGTCAAGGAACGACTATACAAGATCAATATGTACAACCTGTGTGTCTTATTGCAAAGATTGATGATGAAGCGTGGTTATGGCACGCAAGAATGGGACATGTGAATTTTCGAGTCATGGAGTTCATAGCGGAGAAAAATATGGTACAAGAATTGCCTAAAATCAGATACCCAACACAGTCTTGTTGTAAAACAAAGACAACAACTGTTTCCAAACATAACTCAGTTTCGTGCCAGTAATCCATTAAAGTTGTTACATGCTGACCTTTGTGGGCCGATATCACCACAAAAAACATGTGAAAATTGATATTTCTTCTTAATTGTTGATGACTTCAGCACATATATAAGGATGAACCATTCATGACATTTAAGACGTTCAAAACACAGGTGGAATCCAAAAGCAATTTCAAGATAAAGATGTTAAGAACATACAAAGAAGGTGAATTTAACTCTAGACTGTTTGACGATTTCTGTTAAAGAGAAGGAATTAGACAGACAGTTGACCACACTATATTCCCCACAGCAGACGACGTAGCCAAACGCCAGAACAAGACCATTTTGGAAACGACAAGATCTTTACTCAAGACTAGAGATGACCTATGGGGAGAAGCCTTTCGTCATGTGTATATTTTAAATCGAGTGTCAACAAAGGGAGTAAAAGACATGACCCTCTATGAGGCTTGGAAGGGACGGAAACCATCGCTCAGCCACCTCAAGAATTTTGGTTGTGAGGCTCACGTGAAGACCTTGGCCACCTACCAGACGAATTTGAACGATCGAAGTTCGAAAATGGTGTACTTGGGAACAGAACCTGATAGCAAGGCTAATAAGAATGGAGATACTAGTTTGCACAAATAAGAGGATTCAAGAAAAAATAATAACCAAGAAGCAATTCTCTTCATTCAAATGGATAAACATAGACATTCAAAAAAGAATCATAAGATTCTCTCTGCCTAAGTATTGACGTATCCCACCGGGAATCCAAAATATAACGAAACTGCTAGTTCGACAGATGGATTGGCCAATGAGCAACACATGACTAACGCCAGGCATTTGCCCTCGCCTTCGAGACCCTGTATCCGTTCCTTGGTGCCCAAGTGCCAAGGCTAACATTGAAGACAAAACAGTACCAAGAGTTCCCCATAGTGATAGGTGTAGTGCTCTGGACGCCGCTTCTGGCAGAATCTGCACCAATAGCGAACAACCACCCATGGAACATGATCCTCCAATCAAAAGCCATCAACCCCTGCCAAACCTGAAAAGGTAAAAGATACTGTCGGGGATCTATTCCCCCTAACCACAGGTATAAAAGGAACCCTTCTCCCCCAAGAGGAGGGGCCAAGATCTAAAACCCTTTAACACTCTCTTTACGCTTTTAACCCCCTCTCTCTCTCTCTCTCTCTCTCTCTCTCTCAGACCCTCACTAACTTGATCGTCGGAGCCTCGTTCTGGGACAACCTCCCGGACGACGACTGATGGTCTTATCTTCTTTGTTGTGATCTATAGACTCTTCATATCCACCCTCATAAAGACGGAGTTAAGCCGATGACATATCACAACATTTGGCGCCATCCGGGCTTGCACTCAGTCCTGCAAAACCCACTCAACAACACCAGACACCAGAAATGACGGACAAAGGACCGCAGCAGCAAGAAGGTGACACCACTAGCCCGGTTCGAACAATGCAGTCCCTCGACAGAAGCAGTCCGTCGACACTGGAAGAACAGCCGCTAGCACAAACACCAACAACGCCGCCAGTCGGCTCCGCGACGGAGTTCATCGCTAGTTTATGGTGACCGACACCCGCCGCAAAAGCGCATCTGGCCACGACGACCACCACGGTGCCCCAAAGGGCACCGACCACACAATCACATCCAACAACTCGCCAACAGCCATCCACGCGGCAGGCAAGGACTAGCACCTGGTGCCCGAGCACCATCCCATCCGCTATACAACCAATGCCTGCAGGTCACCTGTCTTCCCCGATGGACTCCATGTAGCACGTCCCACTATTCACACATCAACTAGCGTTCAACCCATACTCATACTACTACCAATGCATGTACCCCCCCCCCCCCCCCAACACAGCCGCAAAACAACAACAATCAAGGCACACCGGTGCAAGGGACGCAGTCGCACACCATGAGACCAACAAAATCGAGCTCACAGCCAAATCAAATGGTGCATGCATACCCCACACAGATTGTGTATGTGCCATAAATGTCGGGATACAACCACGGGTACCATTACAAATATGGTCAAGGGTACACCAACCCCTATCACATGCAGCACCCAATGGCTAGTGGAGGACCTGCACATCCACACATGCACAAATCAATATCAAGAATTAGCTCGACATTTGGCCAGGAGCTCATGCAGTACGAAATACCACATTCCGCCATGATCCCAAATATCCCAAAAAATAACGGCACGACAGATCCCGATGAACACATAGACAGTTATGAACGGACGATGACATCGCTCCAGATGGACAAGAGGTTCACCTGCACCTACTTCCCGGTCACACTGTCAAGAAACGCCAGCAAGTGGTTCAAGGCGTTACGACCGAGAAGCATCTCCAGCTTTGAATAATTGAGACATCTATTACTCCACAATTTCATGCGTTTGAGAAAAGTCAAAGGAGATGCCAACTTGATCGTGACATGCAAGCAGAAGGAGGGGGAGTCCATCCGAACATATTATGACCGGTTCACCTTAGCAACTTTAAGTGTCCCAGGCCATGAAGAAATCTTAGTCACATGCGCCTTCGCCCAGGGGCTACTCCCAGCCCCCCTGTCAAGAAAAATACAAGGCACAATACCAAAATCCAGAGACGAGCTTAAATATAGGGTCGAGAAATACCTCCGACAGATCGAAGGAGAAGAACGCAAACAAGCAAATTTAAAACTGTAGTGAACGCCTACCTCAAACGAGAATCAACCGACTCCTACTCCTGCCACAACCATAAAGATCGCAACAATGGAAACCACGAAAAACAGAGCAGACATTTGAGACATTCCTCCCGTATATTCCGCCCGTTCGTCAAAGATGATCCGAGGAGCCACAGGTCGGAAGTGCACGCCGTAGAAAAAACCCCACAGCGGATGGAGAAGGAAAAAGGAAAATACTGCGAATACCACAAGAGCAAAACACACGACACCGGAGAATGCGCGATACTCAAAAGAGAAGTAGCGAACAATCAATTGAACGGAGACCTAATAGAAATAGCAAGGACCCTACGATCAAAGTTCGAAGTTGAACAAAAAGATAGAAGAACCCGCAAGGAAGCAAGCAAACAACCAATAAAAAAAGAGGAGATTTTCACAATAGCGAGACCCAAGGATCGAGACAAGTACCAACGGACGGCCAAAGGTGATGCGATCCCACCCGGAGGCACTCTAAACATCGGTTTCTCGCCATTAGACCCGTGAGTGCCTGACTGGGACCCAACATATCCAATCATAATCCCGCCACGGTTATACAATAGAAGACCTGGAAAGCCTTAGTCGACGGAGGTAGCAGCACCGATATCCTTTACGAACACTGTTTCAAGCAACTCCCGCCATGTTGGAGAAGGAACTTGAAACCCCCAGCTCATGCACCACTCGTTGGCTTCAGGGGACACAAGCTATGGACACTCGGCACCATAAACCTACCATTGGCTATAATCAGCCTCGATGGGAAGGAACAAGTAACCAGGATAATCGAGTTCTCGGTAGTCAAGAAAAGGTCTGATAACGATATAATCCTTGGGCGCCCAACTCTTTTTCAATTACAGGCTATCCCATCGAAAATACATGGCACGCTCAAGTTCAGAACAACCAAAGGTTCAACAATGGTCATAACCATTAACACATGAGCAAAGCCAATCCAGGCAATCGCTGCGTGGGCCATCACACGTATCCCAAAAAGAAGACGAACCATGATACTCACATCCAAAACGGTCAAAGACGAGGAGAAAGACACCCACACCCCCAATAAGAAGAACAAACACAAGCCCCATGCATGTAGCCCAGTGGGGGAAGGGCGCGTTAGCAACAGCATTACCATGCCAGATATATCGCGTATTGTTAGTATGAACACCAAGAAGGGCTAGATACCACTAAGCATACCCACGCGCCTTTGCAAAGTGAAGACACAAACTACGAAGAAGAAGCCTGAGAGAAAACATAACCAAGAGATCGCAAAAACCGGGGAGGGAAAGACAGAGAACCACCCTGCAAAAGAAGATACAGACAGGAGGCTGCCAGCAACGACAAGAGCCCACAATTGGTAGAAGCTTTCCCCAGGACGACACCTGGTCCAAAACCCCGCAAAAAACAGAATCCATAACAACAATGCAACACCAGATGACACGAAACCTCCCAAAGATACTAACCAAACAATCGACACTAGAGAATGGAAGAGATTGAAAATCGTCTTCCGAAGGACGATTGTCCATGAAACAGCCAGTCATGTGAACGCAATCATCAAAGAACTTGTAAGCATAGGAAAGGCACATAGCAAGAAGGACCAAGAATAAGAAGAACTCATCCCGATGACCTAGGAGCCCCAGGGCCCAAGCCAATGGTCCTAGCTTGGAAGGAATTAGGAGAAAAGGATATGTGATCAAATTCCCACCGGATAATCACACACCAACTATCCAGTACAAGACCTAGAAGTAGAATAGCATCAGCTATCAAACCCCCGATACCTACCTAAACAATGTAGGTGTCTCCAAGACATCAAACAAAATATATATGCAATGAAAATTTAGAAGGAAAAAGTATCAATATACTTTTGTACAAACGGAAAACAAAAACGGGCTGATCACTCGTGCCGCATAACAATAAAATCATGGAGGAAAACACAATTGTAAGCCTCAAGGGCTCATAATTTCCCCTAACAGACATGTCAACAAGGTCAGTAGAGTCGCAACTCCTGATCATGACAAACAAGAGGCTTTTTAGGATCATAACCTTTCCCTCGAAACATATAAACTCCTAGACTTCGAGGTGACGATCTCGGTCTGGTTTAGATGACAAGGGACAGAGTGCAACTCTCCTTGGCCCGGGGCATAGAAAAGCCCCCAAAATAAAGACCTTTAGCTAAAAAAGGACGTTCCAACGAAGCAGGCCATCTAGGGCCCGCACCTAAAAGCCAACCAAAACCTCACACTAAGAGGCTGGGCCAAAGGACGAACGAAAGGCTCAAATGCCCTGGGCCATCAAAACCCGTCAAAATAAATAACAACCACCCCCAAAAGGGTGACACTAACCTCTGGGAAGAATTCAAGCCAAAGATGGCCAACATAAACCATCAAGCACAAGTACAACACAAAACAATAGTGTAACAAAGCAAAAGAAGGGTAATTTAACATACACAAAATAAATTATCTACCTGGACAACCCCCCGAGATTTGCACAAAGACCACACAGGGCCAAAGAAAAGCAGCGAAACATTGTTTAAGTGCCAAACAAACATAAACATTGTTTTGAAATATTCAAAGAAAGAATAAAAGCCATCACTTACCAGGGGAAGTGATAGCTTCATTTTATTTACTTCTTTTTATAGTTTATTTTAGCACATTTCATTCGCATTTTAGTTATTTTTCATGCATATTTTCCTTTTTGTTATTTTATGACCATTTCGGGTACTTTCTAGTTTCGTGAGTATAATTGCAGATCTTAAGGAGACTAACGGAGCGGGATCTTTGGAAAGCAATTGGACTTGGAGGACAACGAGGATTTTGGGCTTGATGGCTATGGAGATGATGCATGGAGTGGGCTTGTCAATTGCTTGAAGGCTTGGAAGATTTGAACTTTAAATTTGCAAGACGTGGGAGAATTTTCGAGTGTGCGAAGATCGATAATCGGGAGTTTGCGGAAGCTATGAGTGATTTGGAGAAGGAAAATTGGGCTCAAATTGAAGAAATCTTGAAGAAAAATGGGCTAGAGGCTGATTAGACTCGAACTGGGCCAATGGAATAGCTGTGGGGGCCCAAGACTTGAAGAAGCCCAAAATTCGTCACACCTCACGCGACCCGCGTAAGGTTTCCACGCGGCCCGCGTGGATTCCTGCAGGGGGCATTTTCGGAAATTCAAATAGAGTTCTATATTGGGAAGGTTGGTGTGCCTCTTCAGCCTTATCTTTGACATCCGATTTTGACTCATTCTCTCTGGAGTTTTGGAGCACTTTGAAGACCAAAAACCTTGAAGAACTTCATCTTTTCATCTCTTGATTCTTGTCAAATGTTTGGTACAATCTTATCTAACTTTGTTTTCTTGAGTTTAGCCATGCTTGGCTAAACAAATCTTGGTTGACTTTCGTTGAATCCTTTGAACTTTTGTTGAATATTGAAGAATCCATGAATTTGTGTTTGAATCTTTATGAAAATGTTTTGTGTTTTTAACATCTTATCATTGTTTGTATGTTTTTATTCATGAGTTTAAATGTGTTTGTGGTGATTAGTTGGCTAATTTCTTGATTAAGTAAAGATCTTCAAATTAGCAAGCAACAAGTGATTCTTGTGTTAGTTTTACTTCACACAATCACAAAAACATTTTCTCTAACATGGTAGTGGAAGCTTTTGACTCCTCTTGTATTTGGTGACTTTTTGGTTCTTAATGCTAGTTGACTTTCACTAATTACATGCTTATTGGAATTAGTGACTTTGACTGAGGAAATTGTTATGAGCTTCTCTAACCATTTCAACAACTAAGAAAAGTCTAGGTAATCTCAAGCTCCTTGGATTACTATAGCCAAATTAAGGGTTTAAAACAAGTATTGCACCATTGGATTCTAATGATATGTTCATTAAAAGTCAAAGTGAGGAAACATTAAGTCAACCATCTTTCTCTTATTGATTTCACATCAAATTCTTATTTTTTCCAAATTGTTCATTTAAGTTCTAGTTTAATTCTAGTTTTAATATAAGTATTTCAAAAAGATCAAACCCCCCATTTTTATTTTATTGTCATTTTACAAGTACTTTTGCAAAGAGATTTTCCATAGAGTTATAAATTGAACCAATCTCCGTGGATCGACCCCTTTACCACTATACACTATTTTAGTGTAAAAGATTTAGGGTTATTTATTTTTGTTGGCCTCGACAACCACCAGGAAGCACCAGCATGAGAAAGAGCCACCTTCGACCTGACTATCCTCGGCGTCAGAGTCATCACACAGCTGGCGAAGGCCTGCCATGTCGAGCTCTACCAGACGGAGGTAGGAGGCAACATTTGTCTCCATAAACGCTTTCACAGCAGCGTGCATCGCCTGAGTATGCTCCGTGGTAGCAACTTCATCCCCAGGGACAAACTTCCCAGTAATGACTTATTCCCGGACCTCCTGCTTGCCATTCTCCACACTAACGACCATACACACCATCTTCATCCGCTTCACCCCTATCACAAAGTCAAAACTTTCAACCACCTTGTCCACCACACGGACAATTCATTTCTGAAGCAGCCATCCAAGATCATCCTCCACGCTCTTCCTCCTTGCAACCTTTATTCCCCCAACCGCCTGTTAGCGCGATCCACCTGGTCCTCAAACGCCTTCTTCTCTTCCATCAACACCTCGATATGTTGGGAGAAACGTTCCACTGACCCATCCAAAGTACCAACCTTGTCCTCCAGAGATGCCTTCTCCCCCGCCAGGAGATCATAATGCTCCTCGAATAAACGCTTCTCCCCTTCTAATGCCAACATCTTAGCTCTCAAATCATCTCGCTTAACCCTGATCTGATCGAGCTCGCCAGAATTGGAATCGCCTTGATGAAGGCGAGATGCAGTCGCAACCATATATGAACCAACCTGGGCAGTCGTATATAAGAGACTGTTAGAAAGATGAGCATTCGAGAGAAGCTCCAAGACCTTGATGGTTGTGGGGGGAAAAGCATGATGACCCCAATCGTATGCCACCATGTGCTGGGAAAGGTGAGACTCCCGAGTTATCCCCCACCCGAGCACGTACACGGTCGGCGCTGCCGGAGGAACATGAACAGAGCCCTCAGCAGGGTCTCTCCTTGCCAAAAGCAGAACTGGCGAGATGGGAGCGCCTTCATAACCAGCTTTCTGGTCCACACCAAAAACGTTTTCGGTAGCAGTATCCACCGGTTCTTCCTTGGGTTCACGGGGAAATTATGTCGCCCCTTCTTTCATCCCCTCTGAATGTTACAGAGTGTCATCATCGGGGATATCCACAACTATCGTGTCTTCCCCCAGAAGGAACTCCAAGTTTCGTCTCTTCAAAAGATGATGCCCCTAGGAGCTGGCCTCGGTAGACTCCACCCGCGGCGAGTCCAACCAGGAAAGCCGTCGTTTAGAAGCCGCATGGGTCCTACGTTGGACTAACCTAGTCGACGGCTACTCCCCCTCGGTATCAGAAGACAGGGAGTCTTCACGAGAAACACCGCCAACAGGTGCATCAACCAGCACTTGGCCAGCAGGAGAATCGGACCCATACGAAGAAATGACACGAGGACCGCTGAGAGCCAAAGCAGGGTTAAGGATGACCGGTAGAGGAAGCGTTTCAACCAAGAACACCTCCCGATATTGTAGGGTGCCCTGAAAACGACCCCTCAATACCATCTCGAAGGGAAGAATCCTCTCATGACCTGCAAGCGAGGAAAAGTCCAAACACAGTTCACACAATGCATAAGCGAGAGTATATCAAAGGGGGGGGGGAGGAGAAGTTATTACCATATTTCTCGATATAGAACTGGGGCATCATCCCTCGGGTCCTCCAGGCAGCACTCATCCCAACTGAAGCAAGCATGTGGTCCTCCTAATCCTCGTTGTCAATACAGATGGTCTTCAACGCCTGTGCCACGGTGGCACTGGCACCCCAAACTTCAGGGGCCCGATCAAAGAAAGTGGTCAAATGAGGATAACCGAAACCGACAAAATTACGGTTTACCCAAATCCATCGATCCTGCAAGTTCTTCTTTGTAGCTTTCTGATTGATGATAAAGGCATGAACACCCCTTCTCTAGGAAAATTCCAGGCACCAGATTGAGTGGAGGAAATGAAGAAAGCCTTGAACGCCCAGAACCGTGGTAAAACTCTGAGGGTACAAAAAGCAATTTCGAAGCCGACGATCTTGTTGATGGTGTTTGGAGTCAGGTTGTCCACACGGAGTCCATATTGACGCATAATCTCATCAAAGAAATCCACCACCGACAGCCTTAGCCCCGCCTCGATGATCGGAATGGGAATTTCGATCTTCCCCTAGGACGAGAAATGATGGCCCCCTTTCGAGGGTATTCTACGCCATGCTCGAGAAGAAACCCAGCCACTCTTGCAGACTCGAAAAATCACTCGGGGAAGGAAAGATTCCAGTGTAAGAACTGAGAAGAAGTCATTGCTCTACAAGAAAAAGGGGAACCAGATCAAATAAGGAAGTTTTAAATGCAAGCGGGAAGCCCAAGCGGTTATGATGATGGAAACCATCTGCACAGACGCCTCCGTCACATCAACTGTAGCCAAAAAAACCATCCCCGCTGAACGCATGTCCAGATCTAAGCTAGAACTACTCAACTACCCTAAGCAAACACTGACGTCTACTAGCCTAGGGGACTTGTTGACGTATCCCACCGGGAATCCGTCAAAGATAACGGAACCGCTAGTTCGACAGACGGATTGGCCAAGGAGCAACACATGACTAACATCAGGCATTCACCCTCGCCTTCGAGACCCCATATATGTTCCTCGGTGCCCAAGTGCCAAGGCTAACATTGAAGACAAAATAGTATCAAGAGTTCCCGAGAGCGACATGTGTAGTTATCTTGATGCCGCTTCTGGCAGAATCTGCACCAATAGCGAACAACCACCCATGGAGCATGATCCTCCAATCAAAAGCCATCATACCCTGCCAAACCTGAAAAGGTAGAAGATACCGTCGGGGATCTTTTCCCCTAACCACAGGTATATGTAACAGCCCGTTATTTTCTGTTTGTAAAGTCAACTCTAGTCAACCAAAGTCAAATAAAGGTCAACTAAAGTCCTTTTTATTATTTGGATTTCTATTAAGATTATGATAATAACCTTTATTTGCTAAAATCCTTATAATATGCCTAGTTGAATTTGGAAGGAAAATGGTTGAAAAATGAGAAACTTCGCATCTTATTCATTGCTTCGGACCGCAAACACTTCGGGCCGCAGAGAGTTTACGGCCGTACACTCCTCGGACCATAAACTCCTCGCAGCCGTAAACGAGGCTTCGGCCGTAAACGTCTTGCCGACTTCGGACCGTACACTCCTCGGCCGTAAACCCTCGCACATATATATAGATTTCCTTCATTTTCCCCATT